TTATTGTGATGCTGCTCATTGGTCCAGTTGTGAGGATTTTTGTTTTCTTTATGTTGAGATGTAATCCATACTGCAGACTGTATTCTTCAACCTTCATCACATAGCACATAGAAATACATATGAAGAAATATCATCGGCCAACCTTATATGTGGTCATGGGTATATTCCCTTTTGCTTAGACAACCTGCTCATTCAGCCTGTCTACCTACCTATCCACTCCTAGATTAATGTTTGGCATTATAATGCATTATTGTATACATAAAGGTATTTATCTTTGTTGTCTGTATCTCTTGTGCACCTCTCTGTGTCTTCATTTTCCTTAATGTTATTGTGTTGTTCATTCACTTTTGGTATATTACCTTTCCCTTCACCCATATCAATACTTGTCTCTTAACCTATCTAGCAATTTTTCCTCTCCTCCCCTCCCATTCCCAGTAATCAACAAAGAAAATTTCCTTCCATATGTATGTAAGCCTTTCCTTGACCTTTTACAATAATGGACTAATGCAACATTTGTCTTTCAGTGATTGATTTATTTCATTGAACATAATGTCTTCCAAGTTCATCCACATTATGATGTGTTTGGTGGATTCTACGTTATTCTTTAGTGTTGTATAGTATTCCATTGTATGTATGGATCATAGTTTGGTTAGCCATTCCTCCACTGATGGGAACTTAGGTTGTTTCCTTCACTTTGCTAATGTGAATAGTGCTGTGATGAACATGGATGTACATATATCTATTTGTGTCCTAGCTCTCACTTCATTAGGATATATACCTAGTAATGCAATTGCTGGATCAAATGGTATTTCTATTTCCCAGTTTTTAAGGAAGCACTATACCATTTTCCACAGTGGTTGTATCATTTTATAATCCTACCAGCAGTGTATGAGAGTCCTAGTCTCTCCACATCCTCACCAACATTAGTTATTTTCTGTCTTGTTGAACTTTGTTATTAATGATGGGTAAGAATGGTATCTTATTGTTGTTTTGATTTACATCTCTCTAATGGCTAATGATTGTGAACATTTCTTCATGTGTTTGTTGGCCACCTGAATATCTTTTTGGTGAAGTGTTTGTTCATGTCTTCTGTCCATTTTTTAATTGGATTGTTTGTCTTTTTGGTGTTGAGGTGTTGGGATTTTCTGTAAATTTTAGAGATAAGTCTCTAGTTGCATGTGTCATTGTGGAATATTTTTTTCCACTTGGTAGGTTATCTTTTAACTCTTTTGGAGAAAGAAGTCTTTTGATTCACGTAAGAAATTAATTTTTTAGAAGATCCCAGTTATCTAGTTTATCTTCTTTGTTTGTGCATCTTGTGTTATGCTTGATAGTCTATTTATGCCATAAAGTTGTTGTTTTTGTTGTGATGTGCCGTCGAGTTGACCCCGACTCATAGCAACCCCTCCTTGGGTTTCTGAGGCGGTATCACTACAGAAGTAGATTGCTCAACCTTCCTTCCGAGGAGTGACTGGTGGGTTTGATCTGCCAGCCTTCTGGTGAGCAGTCAAGTGCCTTAGGCACTATCCTACCAGAGCTTCTATGCCATAAAGTAGGTCTCCTAAATATGCTCCTGTTTTTTCTTTGATGAACTTTATAGTTTTAGGTTTTACATTTAATTCCTTGATCCATCTGGAGTTACTTTTTGCATAGTGTTTTAAGTTTGGATCTTGTTCCATTTTTCTGAAAATGGATGTCTAGCTTTAAGGAGCTCTGGTAGCATAGTGCCTAAGGCACTTGACTGCTCACCAGAAGGCTGGCGGTTCAAACCCACCAGCCACTCCTCGGAAGGAAGGTTGGGCAGTCCTACTTCCGTAGTGATACTGCCTCGGAAACCCATGGAGGGGTCGCTATGAGTCGGGGCCGACTCGACGGCATATAACAACAACAACAACAACAACAAGCTTTGCCAGCACTATTTGTTAAAGAGACTGTCTCCCCATTGAATGGATTTTGGCCCTATGTCAAAGATCAGCTGACCCTGGGTGTATGGATCTATTTCTGGATTCTCAGTTCTGTTCCACTGATCTATATGTCTGTTTTTGTACCAATACCAGGCTGTTTTTACTACTGTTTTAAGATTGGGGAGTGTGAGACATCCATTTTCGTTCTTCTTCAGTAGTGCTTTGCTTATCTGAGGTCTCTTTCCTTTCTATATAAAATTACTGATTGTTTTTTCCATGCCCTTAAAGAATGTTGATAGAGTCTGGATTGAGATTACATTGAATGTATAGATTGATTTGGGTAATGTTGGCATTTTTACAATGTTCATTCTTCCTATCCATGAGCATGGTATATTCTTCCATTTATGTACATCTCTTATAGTTTCTTGAAGTAGTATTTTGTAATTTTCCAACTGATTTTTGTATGTTGATTTTGTACCCTGCCACTGTCCTAAATCTCTCAATTAGTTCCAGAAGTTTTCTTGGTAAGCCTCTTGGATTTTTTATGTATAAAATCATATGTGCAATAGCAATAGTTTTACTTTTTTCTTACCAATTAGACATCTTTTATTTCCCTTTTTGCCTTATTGCCTGTCTAGGACTTCCAATAGGAGCTCTGGTAGTATAGTGCCTAAGGCACTTGACTGCTAACCAGAAGGCTGGCAATTCAAACCCACCAGCCACTCCTCAGAAGGAAGATGGGGCAATCTACTTCCATAGTGATACAGCCTTGGAAACCCAAGGAGGGGTCACTATGAGTTGGGTCTGACTCGATGGCACTTAACAACAACAACAATAGGACTTCCAATACAAGGGTGAATAGAAGTGGTGATAGAAAGCATCCTTTTTAGGTTCCCATTCACAAGGGAAATAGTTTCAGTCTCTCTCCATTGAGAATAATGTTGGCTAGGCTTTTATTCTTAAGGGAGCAGATTGCCAGATCTTTTATCCCATGAAACAGGTGGTGAGTTTGAACCACTGACCTTTCAGCTAGCAGCTGAGTGTTTTAACCGTTGCACCAGTAGGACTTTTTATGTTTCACCTAGACAATTTTATTCTCCACTTTGCTAAATATTGATCCTTTGATAATCTTCATAGATTTAAATAATATAATTTTTGTGAAATGTCTAGCATAGTGGCTGGCACACAGCACATATTATGCCCTCAATAAATGTTAATTCCCTTTCCCAAATGTCCTGTCAGGAGTAGGTAGCAAAACAAGAATTTTAAATTTCATACTCAGTTTTTAATTTATTCCATCCAGGTGCCTGTAAGATTGTTTCTTTATTTTGCAATTTAGACTGCATGGTTACTATTCTGAGGGAGCTCTGGTGGTATAGTGCCTAAGGCATTTGACTGTTAACCAGAAGGCTGGTGGTTCAAACCCACCAGCCACTCCTTTAAAGGAAGGTTGGGCAATCTACTTCCGTAGTGATACTGCCTCGGAAACCCAAGGAGAGGTCACTATGAGTTGGGTCCGACTCATCAGCACATAACAACAACATTCTACTTTGATCTATATTTATTTAAAAGAAAAAAGAAAGCCAGCTTATCTTAGTCATAGGCAAGCCACACCTAAGATGGAAGACCTTTTGTTGGACCACTGGAGCATCCTGAGTTTTTTGTGTCTTACTTTAGGTATTTAGAAGTTGAGCAAAATTTAGAAGTTGAAAATGATGGCATAATTTTTGTTATAATTCATATTATTTAACTGTATTTGCTATTGATCAACATAAAATTTGATTAAAACACCATTTTCTCAATTTTTATGTTTAGGTAACCTTGGCCGGGTGGACCAGGTCTCTGAGTTTGAATATGATCTGTTCATTAGGCCTGATACCTGTAATCCACGCTTCCGAGTCTGGTTCAACTTTACTGTTGAAAACGTGAAAGAATCACAGGTGAGGGAAGTAATGGATACCTTCAGTTTGGTTTTGGTAAGAAGAATATGATTTTGTTTTATTTTAGGAAAATTAAAATAATGACACTGTATCTTGGATATATTCTTATATAAATATAATGTTATATTTTTGTTTTAAGAGTTTTAGAGAAGCAGGTACAAATTTCTGACTTGGGATACTGATGGTTATTAAATGCTATAAATTGATTTGAGAACAAAAATATTTTTTACTGATTGAAACATTAGCGTGAGGTGCTTGGCTTTCCTTAAAGAGATGGTACAAGGAACTACTAGATGCTCTTATTTGACTTGCTGTTATGTTTATTATAAGAATACTCTTCTCCATATAATTTCTTCTGTTGTGGCAGACATTTTACTCAGCTTTCAGTTTTCAAAAGTTTTATTATTAGCTAAACTGTAGAAAAACTGTACAGCTTTTCTCCTGCTGTACAATGGTATGTTTATATCTTAAAAACATGATTATTCTTGTCACTGATCTTATTTTCCCTTTGCTTTGGCTTCTAGGAGTCTCAGAGGCAACTTTACAGCCTTTTCCAGTGATTCTGAAAAACCTTTTTTTGTGTTTTTGTGTACCAACTTTTGTTTTATTTAGATCTTATTAATCTGCTTGTAACTGTGATTTCTTCAGCTACATTTTTAACAGTGTGTATTTTATACTCCTGTGTTGAGTAACAGAGGATATTGGTGAAAATAGAGTGATATAAATAACATATACTTAGCATTAACATTAATAAGAGTTAATACTAAGTAGTAGATTATTATTCTGTTTTATTTAGACAGCTAATTATTGAAGACTCTGCACAGACCATACACATAGTGATATTGTGATTTTTTTAAGCATGTGAAAATATACCCATGTAACCCTACATCTGCCTTCTCCTTCAAGGTCATCTTTTTTCTAATATGTTTGGGAGAAAGTTGTTTGTTTTCTTTCATTTTCCTTACAGGGTCAGTCTACCCTGTTTGCTCTTTTACCTATTTGCTTGCTACTTTCCAGATTCAACTTCAGATTCAGAGTCATATAATAGGCAGTTGTCAGTGTCTGGAAGGTAAGGGTTCTGAGTCTTTCTGGACACAGTACTATTCCTAGCACTGGCCTTAGGAGAAAAGGAATGCAGGAATGGCTACTTCACTTCACTAGCAATTCTCTTAATTATCTCTGTAACACCACTAACACAGGGCCTTGTTGCTGTTAGTTGCCATTGAGTCAGCTCCAACTCATGGTGACATTATGTAAAATAGCACAAAATGTTGCTCAATGCTGTACCATCTTCATGAGTGTTGATATATTTCAGTTAATTGTAGCTGTTGTGCCAGTCTGTCTCATTGGGGGTTTCTTCACATTAGCTGACTCTCTACTTTACCAACCATGATGTCCTTTTCTAGAGAATTTTTTTCCTAATAATGTTTCTAAGTAAGCAAGACTAAATCTTTCTGTCCTCTCTTCTAAGGAGCATTTTGGTTATATTGTCAACTTATAGTCAATATTCTTCACCAACACCACAGTTCGAATGTATTGATTTTTCTTCTGTGTTCTTCATTGTTCATCTTTGCATGTAATGAGGCAATTTAAAAGACAATGGCTTGGGTCAGGTGCACCTTAATCATTGAAGTAACATCTTTGCTTTTTAAAACCTTAAAGAAGTCTTTTGCAGCAGATTTTCCCAATGCACTACATCATTCAATTTCTTGACTACTGAGTGATGTTGGATGTTGTAGTTTATGTAATGGTTACTGATATTTAAACACTAACTGGAAGGAATTAAATATAGGGGAGAACCTAAGCATTATTAGCTAAATATGATTTATCTAAGAATTTTAGGACTGGGGGAATAAACTAAACTCTACATGAAAATCCCTCAAACATTAACTCATTGCCATGCTTCTTGTTTTTATCTGCTTCTTCATGAGAAAGTTATTTTTTATTTTTTCCCAGTAAGACTAATCATTACCTTCCCCCAGAAAAAGTCACATTTTTACCTACGGGGATTCACCTGACTTTGGGATTGTCTTTCTTATTCCACAAAGACAATCAATAATCTTCAAAGTTCATTTTCCAAAGTCTATGTTACTCAGGCTAGAGAATGTAATATACAGAAGGAGGCTTTAGCTGCATGTCTTGGTGTTCCATTTTTGGGACACCCATGAAGACCTTTCTACCACCATGAGTTAAACTTAAACACTCCCATTGCCTTGTTGGTGTTCCTGTCTCATGTTACTACTCCAGTTGGTACTTAAACACACTTCTGAAAAACAAACAAAATAATTCACATTTTGCAATACAGTCAGAAGGAGGGAAAACTTTTTTTTTTCTTTTAAAGGTAGTATAATCTGCCAGGATTCCTAAATCCTCAAAGGGAATTACTCTTTCTGTCTTTATGCACAGTATATGCCCATCCTTCAGCTTGCCTACTGCATCTAGGAACACACTAAGCCCTAAGAAATGGGATCTGTTGCTTTTCAAATAACACAATCATCTATCCTTATGATGACTTTTGCTGAATAGACACTTAGCAGAAGTTCTGCAATTATAGTCTTTCTTTAATTTGGACCACATTAAATTCTTAGCCCAGTTTTTTTTCTCACTTTAGTCAGATCAGATTCTGATTTGATGGGCAGCCAATCAATGAAATAGACACACCTGCATGGTTCGGAATGGAGGATGAAGAAACAATTGATGCATTCCAATAGCAGACAGGAGGTGTCTTCTAAAAAGGAAGCCTGCTACTTTATTCCAGAACTGTGTTGCTACAGACCAAGACTACATTTTTAATTAGAAAACCACAACTTGGTTCTACCACATCCTGACTACTACAGTATAGTTTTTTATTTCATTTTCCCTCCCCCATTCCTTTATTGTGCATAAAATAACTTGTGTGTGTGCATAAGCACATTTCATTATTAATTAATTATTTATTTTTTAAAACTAAATGGCCAGTGATATGTTTTGACCAAGATCAAGTAGAGAAGGGATGGGGAAAAATACTGGTTCTGTGAAGATACCCCCTTTCTCCATTTGTGGCATGCTTGCTCAACTCTTACCATTATATTCCAGTAAGTTATTTTTTTTTCTCACTGTTTAAGAATAAATGACATAAAAAATCCTTGCATACCATGTTCGATTGGAAAATTTTGATGGTTTTCATTTACCCTTGTAAAACCAAGGATAATTTTACAATTTTTTTTTTTTTTTGCACATAGCTGTTACACGTAGGACAGTCTGGCTAAGTGGTGGTAAATTGTTCTAAAAGAAATGAATCTTAGATAGCTATCCCTTCAAGTCAAGCATCTTAGTGTTTATATAAACTTTTCTTCTTTTTTTTTTTTAAGAGTAAAGTAGTAAAGATTATCCTCATACAGCCCCTATGGCTGGAAAGAGGAATCTGAAATGACTAGAGACTTAGTGAAGCTTTGTTCCTTTGGTTATATTACCAAAGAGAGTCTTGGATGCATTGCTTGAGCATTTTAAAGACTTTTATTCTTTGCTCTTCTAGTTTGCTTTCAGGGATGTTCTTTTGTTTGTTGAAAATGTCTCTGCCTTCAGGGTTAGAATTTTCATACTACTGGTAAACTTATACAGCCTCTTTTGCAGTCTTATGTATCAATTAAATAAGCAAATAATGTGAATGTGTTCCAAGGAGTTATTCTAATAAGGGAACTGGCTCTGTTTTATGGATCTGTATTTCTGAAGTTGGAGGAACCAGTATTTGCTCTGTTTCTCTAGGTTCTATATTCATATCCCGTGTTATTCTACCCTTGGTACAATTAGAAGTCATGAACATGTTTATCTGGTTTCCTGGAGTGTGATGTTTTATCAGTTTCTTTTTGTGGGCCATTGCTTCATCAACTGTAATCATTATATAGTCATGGAAATCTGTCTCAAGAAGGCATAAAGATCTGCTGAAAAGATACAATATATATCTGTAGCTCACAGGATATTTGTTTTTCATGGTTGTCTACATGAAAGAGAACGGTTTTACTATTAAGTTTGACTTGTGAGGTCTGTTTTTATAATGTCTCTTCCTATAATCTTTTTTCATCTCTCCAATTTCCGTTAAAATGAGACCTGCATGAATGTAATCTAGTCAGGAACCTTATTTAGGGCTTGGTACTAGCAGGCAAAAGAAGTATTAGTCATCACAGGCTGACTCTATTAAATGAATGTTAAAAATTGCAGCATCAAGTATAGTGTATAAACAAGTCTAGCTTCTGGATTATTTTCCTTGATGGTTTTAAGAAGTGATAAAAGCTTGGAACATACAGTGCTGTATCCCAGGACTGATATATTAACCCCTGAATGTAGTTTCCAAATAGAGCATTTGCAAGAATCTGTGAAAATGAAATGTCCTGGTACCTTTATGCAAAAGTAATTTTCTCTCTGAAAAACTGGTATTAAATATTCTTATGTGAAAATTTATTATTGATGCAGCAGGCACTTGTGTGATGTGAAAGCAAATCTTCCTATTTAAATACTCATGAAAAAGCTTCAGCCAATAAGAGGAAATCAAATGGTATGCCTGGACTATTTAAACTCTCTTCTGTTTCTCTTAATATTCTTTTTTATCTCTTTAAATTTCTTTTTCCTCTTTCTGATTATAAAAGTTGTAAATTTTCAATGTGGAGACACTGGAAAAATATAGATAATTGTTAGAAGCATGAAAACAACAAACAACAAAAAATCAGTAAACCCATAATCTTACTACATAGAAACAAATGCTTTATGCATATTTACTTCAAGACTGTTTTTTTCAATTTTATTTTTTGAAACATAACTTTTTACTATATAAAGACATTTTTATATTTTGATTTTTTTTCTTAAAAAACTAAAGACTATTTTCACAAGCACTTTTTTTTTTTTTTTTTTTTTTAGGATTTGGGTGAAGATTTACAGAGTAAATTCACTTTTCATACAGCAGTTCACATATACTTTGTCTTATGTCATTGACCAAAATTTACAATGCAGCAGCTTCCCTCCCACTTCCTCCCCATAGTTACCTCCTCCCAGTGTCCATCCCT